ATTAAGAACTATGTTGCATAAATCAATTTCATCAAAGATGGAACCAACTAGAGGCCTATGATAATAACAACTATACGAATAAGCATATTAAATTCATTGATTAATAGTTATGGATATGTTTAAAGTCCAAATGTTTGACATAGAAAAGTTGGTTAATAGGTTGCACAAGATTTTGATAGACTTGATGAATTTAGGCGCCACTCGAATTTTATTGACAACATTATATTTCTAACATAAGACTAATGGATTTTTAATTCGTGTAATATATAAAAAACTATTTGGGATTGTTTGCTTTTGTGGTTTTGCTACCAGTACCACATCAGGCAGTAGTAGATCAAATTTTTACCTAAATAGATGTGCAATATACAAGGAAAATAAGTTTTGGTGGGCGTTCATTAATCACATGAGGCTTTATGGCGAGGGGGTTGACAAATAATCACGAAATATCCCGTGGGGGAGAGGAAGGTCTTATGAGATATCACTTGTAGTTATTTTTTACATGAATTTAAAAAAAAATCCAAATATTTCTAAATCCTGGACCAAACATCTCTAAAAAAAATCGGTCACGTGATCAATAGACGCCCCCAAGGAAGCATTGCAGCAATACTTGTCTCGTCAGTACTAGATAAAAAAAAACTTATCAAAAATCTCATCATTAACCAATGGGTTTCATTCTGGAGATACAGAGTTGAGGAATTTGATTACTTTGATTTATTTTTTACTTAAATTTGAACAAAAAATCCAAACATTTTTTAAAAAAATCTAATATTTTACAATTTTTTCTACTAACTAAAAATACACGTGAAGTTTGGCGGTAGAGGGGGTAGAGGTAATTTTAAATATAACCCCGTATCACCAAGGGGCAGGAGGGACCAAAAATTTCTAAAAAAAATCGGTCACGTGATCAATGGACGCCCCCAAGGAGGCATTGCAGCAATACTTGTCTCATCAGTATTAGATAAAAGAAACTGATCAAAAATCTCATCATATAGTGAATTGTCAACCACTGGGTTGCATTCTAATAATACAGAGTTGAGGATTTTGATTACTTTGATTTATTTTTTACGTAAATTTCAAAACAAATACAAGCATTTTTTTTACAATAATTAAAAAGCAATCAGAAAATAAATTATAAGCTATTTTGTTGATTATTAGAACTCCAGTAACAGAACTAGAGATCTATATATATGACATGAAGAGATCATCCCAGTCATTCCATTTTAATGCATTAGATCGAAGGGGTGCTTCTTCTTCAATCTTTTGATATGTGATGCTTGTAATACGGGAATTAATGTAAGGTTATTGTGGTTGATGATCTTGTCATGATGAATTCCACTTCTGTTTTTCACTACCTCCTGGACAGTATCGATTTTTAGATCGTTATGTAGTATTTGGTTGCTGACATACCAAGGTGCATTTGCAATACACCTTAAAATTTTTGATTGTTTTCTTTGGATAGATGAAATTCTTGATTTACTGGTGCAGCCCCACAACTCTACGCCATAAGTCCAAATCGATTTTATTGTCGCTTTATAAAGTAGAATTTTGTTTTCTAATGATAATTTAGATTTAATATTAATAAGCCAGGACAGTGACTTAATTTTTCTTTCCATTTTGTTTTGTTTTTGCTGTTAATATGAGTAATCCAATTTAATTTGCTATCCAAGTGCATTCTCAAATATTTTACAGAAGCATATTCAGGGATAATTTTATTATTAATAGACACCGAAGGACATTTACCCTTCATTAATGTAAATGTTATATGGTGAGATTTGTCTTCATTGATTTTTGTGCGCCAATATTTAGACCAGATTTCAATTTTATTTAGATGATGTTGTAGTTTGACAAGCATTTTTTAAAAAATTTAAAAAAATTTATGATTTTTTCTCCTAACTAAAATTGTACGTGATGTTTGGTGAGGGAGGGGGGTGGCTAATTTAACATATTACCACGTATCACCAAGGGGGATGGAAGGTCCAAAAATGTCTAAAAAAAAAAAATCGGTCACGTGATTATTAAACGCCTCCTTGAAGACGTCAAAAAATTGATCCAAAATCTGATAGCAGCAATACTTGATCTCATCAGATAGAGAATGGCCAACCAATGGGTTGCATTTTAATAATACTGAGTTGAGGAATTTGGTCACAACAATCTTAAGGCAAATTACATAAGCAATACCACACCAGAAGTAGTAGATCAAAATTTTACCCAAATATATATACAATATAAAAGAGAAAATTGCTGTTGGAGGCATTGCAGCAATACCTATCTTATCAGTACTATATAGAAAAATTGATAAAAAAATCTTATCAGATAGGAAATGGCCAATCAGTGGGTTGCATTCTAATCAGTAGTTTGCTACCTATCCAAGGAACCTGCAGCAATACCTATCTCATCGTCATCAGTATTAGATAAAAAAATTGTTCAAAATACTCATCAAATAGGGGAATGGTCAACCAGTGGGTTGCATTCTAATAATACTGAGTTGAATTTGGTCACAACAACCTTAAGGAAAATTACATAAACTTCCTGATAAGTGTAAATATTAAAATATATACATATCTTTACGTTTCAAAGGTTTCTGAACATTTTGGTATACCTCATGTGTGTGTATGTGTGGATACAATTTTGCGTCCACGTTTTCGGGAGCAGCAATCAACCGATTTGAATGTTTCAAAAAACATTCGCTTCCTATTGATAGGGAGATGTACTTAATACAAAGTACATCTTGACAAAGTTTGGCAAAGGCAGGCCCAGCCATTTCGGAAACACGGAGCAAAGAGTGCAGAAAATAGGATTCGAGTTTTTGAGAGAACGGAGTATCCAATTTGAATGATTCAATAAACATTTGTAATGATGAGGAGAAGCGGTGATTAGTTTTTGGCAAAGACAGGTCCAGTTGTTTTGGAGATACGGAACTAAATAAGCAAAAATTGCAGTTTTTGAGAGAGAAAACATCCAATTTCGGAAAAAAATTTGCTTGTATAAACTGAACGATTGTTTTTAGGAACATTCTATATATTTCTATATTTCTAAATTTTTTTTTTCAATATCGAAAATAATTTGGGTTTTATTTTTAATTCTAGCTTATATGCTTATATTAATTACAATAATATTTTTGAAACATTTATTATTCTTCAAATATTTCATTGCTGTACGGGAAGTTCCACCAATTTGCCTTAAGGCACGATGCTATACACGTTTAATTTTGAAAATAAAATTATCACTTTTACTAAAGACTAATCAATGCAATTTTTAATAAAAATCTTAATGAAGCAAAAACTTATATAAGATAATTTATATTGATCAGACTTTTATTTTATATTTTTTCTTATTATTTATTATTGGAAATATTTATTTCTCATAAAAGTTTAAATAGGTTTTACATATAATTTAAACTGAACTTTCAATTTAACCTCAAGGTATTCGTATAGTCCTTAAAGGCATTCAGTTAATAATAATAATTTTATAAAGATTACAAAGTTAAAGCAATTTTATATTATAAAGATTGCATTATGAACTAATTGCAATTCTCATCTTTTGTTGAATTTTTTGAAATATAATTATTGACAGATAATAAAAGATTTTATCTACATGTAATATAAGTATATGTATTATACTTTAATTTTTTATTTCCAACATAAAAAATAATCTGACTTGGTATTAAATATTTAACAATTACGATGAAACATTTATTAGATATCTATATCTAGTAAAGGCGATTTTTACTTGAGATTACTTCTGAAATCTATAACCATGCGTAGAAATTTAGTATCATACTGCTTGATATCGAGCTGACCGAGGCCAGTATCAAATTCCTCAAGACTAGTTTGTGCTAACCCACGTTCTTAACCATACTCAAAATTTATAAAATAAATAAACTATGTATTTTCTTCATTTATGTTACAGAATTATGTAGATTTTATTTAAGAGTGTAATTTTTTTTTAAATTTTTTTTTACTAAATGACGTTCTATTAAATAAAATTATGAATGTGAGTAGGACATAAAGTGATATTAAAATAATTAATAAAAAAGTTATTAGTGATCCAAATTTTTGGAAGTGAGAAGACCAGCTTGAAATATGGGACACAATTTAAAGTAAGAAATAGATATAATATTTATTATTAATATAATATTAATAATAATAATTTATCATGTATATGTATATATCAGATATAATATTTATTATTAATATAATATTTATCATGTATATGTATATATCAGATATATATATATATATATATATATATATATATCTTCTTATATATAAAAATGGAACTCGATAAAATTTTAGATATGCTAAAACTCTAAAACGTCTTAACCGATTTGGCCAGTTTTAGTCGTGAAATATTCGTGTTAATCCAGAGATTGTGAAAAAGGTGAGAAATTATTTCAAATCCGCGTAGAAACTTTATATTTTCAATTTAAAATTATCTGTAGAAGCGTAATTTAAAATGAAACAGTGGACGGCGGCTCATAGGTCAAAGGTGGCGTCCATTAATCACGTGATCAATTTTTTAAGGATTTTTGGATGTTCAATTAAATTTAATAGTATAAATTTAATCGTATATCAGAATTAAATTAAATTAAATTTTAAATTCACGAAAAATTATAATAACTAGTAACCCTTCGAATTATGTGTAAGGTTGGATATGTTTCAATAACTAAAAATGTTGAAATGATATTTGTTGTACTTATTTTTAGTGATATAAATAAACAAAAATATTACGATGTCATGATTAGTTTGCTTTAAGCCTACTCGTACTGCCACAGCACTCCCCTTCCGGTGATAATATAGTTAATTAAACTAGTGGTGTATGGCATTGTGCCTTAAGGTAAATTGCTGGAACTTTCCGTACCAAAAATTACTTTTTTTTAAAAAAAGATTTAAATTTGTTTTTAGAGCTTTGAAAAAAATTGTTTTTTGAGTTTTTGAAAAAAAACCTTTTTTGAAAAACATGATTCTTTTCATATTTCAAAGCATTCGCGCTGCTTTAGCTGCGTAGAGACGACATGTCGAAGCGCATAAGCGCTGCGTCTCAGTCTAATCGATAAACAATGCTACGGAGCCCATATAAATGCCAACAAAATATATATTTGTTAATAAAATCTCAATAAAATATGTGATAATTTGATGTGCATTTGTCTAATGATTTGTATTGGATCTCCTAAACCGCTAGACCTGCCTTTCAGTACTGCCACATCACTCCCATTCCGGCGATAATATAGTTAATTAAATTAATAATTTAATTAGAAAGCAGTGTACAAGCAACCTAATAAAAAGTTTTGCACCTTCAACAAAAAATCATGTCTCCCACATTTTTAGATCTTCTGAATGATTTTTTATTTGTAATTCTAAACGTTCAAATATTTACTACATAGGCCTGTTGAAAAATAACTTTTTTGATGGGTCGGGAACAAAGTACACAATGAATAGGTGTAGTGTATTAGTAAGAGCAGTCGAATCTAATTTTGTAACTAATAAAAATCTCAAAACACTTCGTAAATCTCACGTGGAACGTTTAAAATCTTGACGGGCAGCCACGCGGTACTTAAATGAGGAAAAATAACATACTATCATCGGAATAGTAGATAAAGCAGTGATGGCAAATTGGCTTTACTATCTCTTAATTAAGAAATATTTTTTTAATCATAATTTTTAAAGGTTTCTTATATTTATTTTGTTATATGCCTTACTTTAATCCTTTCCACTCGGAAGCCTCCGGCGGCAAAATACGTGCAAATTCTGCAAATAGCAAGTGGAAATGGTTAAGTTAGGTTCAAAAAAGTGAATCTCTAAATACTACTGTGTATTCAAAAATCTATTTTAGAAGGAAGTAACAAAAGTAAATATATTTAATTATAATTGTACGTGTCTTTTTAATCAATTATATGTGAAAAATCTTATGTATTCTTGACATACTAGCTGACCCGCCAAACGTTGTTTTGCTAAATAAGGTATATTCTAAACAATTTCTAGAGAATTAAAAAAAAGAATACTTTAAGTATATAAGGATGTGTTGTTTGAATGCTATATACAATAAAGTATTATAAAAACAATAAACCCCATTAGTCTATATTTTATTAATACAATCAAACTGGAGGTTTTATACACTTTCTATAGAAATATGGTATAATCTAACCCAAGACTTTTTTGATATTTCGACTTATTAATTACGTTTCAAATTTTTCAGTTCTTTTTGAATTCTGGATTTTGTGTATAATTGTAAATAATACTACTGAGCTTATACAAAATCTTCAAATCTCTGCGAGGAGAGATAGAAAATGTATTAAGCATTTCTTCTTTGACCTGCTTTCTGAAAAGTTTCAAGTAACATTCGATGAATTAAAGTAAATTTAATAAAAAGTATATATGTAGAGCAGGGCGAGGCACAAAGGTCCAATTTGACTTTGAGCAAATATAAATTATATTATAAAAATTAAACCAATTATATCATTGCAAATAACCCATTTCAAACGAACAATTATCTGACTACGTTCAGTAAAACTGCCAGCTACTTCCTCGTTTTAGAAATGTGCTTTTTTGCTCTCTTTCAAAAATTTGTTAACTGGACCTTTTTACCCCATAGACGGGGTAACTTGGAACGGCTAGGTGGCAAACAGGTTTAATATCTTATTTTAATTTTAAAGGTATTTTACAAAATAATTACATTTTTAACTAATGCTAAAAAACGACCAACGGTCAAAGATTACCGTTTATCTCCTGATAGCAAAGTCATGAGAATGAAGGTTATAGCTGGTTATACATTTTTTCCCTCTACTTTCAAATATTGTTGTTAAACAATGCTTCACTGGCTTTTGGTTTTTGACACATCGCTGGAGGACCTTTTTAACCCCGGACCTTATTCATATATTACTATCTGTTTTTCGATAAATTCTGGGAAATTATAACTGGAAAAATGTTATTCGACACATTGTCCCTTTGATCGGTACCAAATTTAGGATCTGAACTTAAATAACATAAATAAAAAATAATATAACCTAAAAATGTTTTATAAATACCAATGAGTATATACAGTGCTGGATTTACCGTAGGGGCAATCGGGGCTACTGCCCAGGGCGGCAAATTTTGGGGGGCGGCAAAATTTGGACAGTGAGAAAAAAATTCTATACAATATAAGAAATTTTTTTTAACAACATTTTTTATTTCAAGAAATATAATTAACAAAACATAATACGATTGCAATGCAAAATTTGGGTTGAAATAAACGATAACTAAAATTTATTATTTTGCCTTGCCATTATCAAATTGGTTAATAAGTTATCAAGTTTGGCAATTTGGCTAATATAAAGATCCGTAAACAAGCTGAAAGTTTAGGAAATATATGTTCTTCAGTTCTCGAGCCCTCTTAAAATGACGTATTTGTGCACTTGAAAGTGCTTATAGTGTCAAAACAAAAATTTAAACTAGTGACTCATGGCATTGTGCCTTAAGACAAATTACTGAAACATCCTGTACTGAAAATTACATTTTATAAAGAGCTTTAACATTTTATAGAAAAATGAAAAAAAAAGGCTTCTAAAACACATTTTTTGTATTTTGAAATTTTTCGAAAATTATGAACTTTTTGCAAAGCAATCGCGCTGCGTAGCTATTTCAGAGGAGAAATATCGAAACTCAATTACCATTTTCCGTAACTGCCTGTACCAAAAGCTAATCAGCGCACGCTCCCCATCAATACAAATCTAAAATTTTTTAATTATTCAAGTCGATTTTGAGAACACGAATCAACCGATTTATGATTCAATTCCTATTGATAATGAGACATGCTAATTAGTTATTGGTCAAGGCAGGTCTAACTGTTTTGAAGATACGGGCCAAAATGTCAAAAATGATAATTTAGTTTTTGAGAAAAAAGCGTCCAATAACAGTAAAAAAAATTACAGAATAAATAACTGCTTAAATTTGTGGGAGGCAGGTTTAGCGGTTTCGATGATCCAATAAAGAAAGAAACATTTGGCGAACAAAAGTGATCATAAGACATATGCACATTAAATTATCAGATATTTTAAAGATATTATAATAATAAGTATAAATTTTGTTTATATTTATATAAGTTCTGTAACATTGTTTATCCGTTAAATTGCGACGCGGCGCTCTCGCGCTTCTATATTTTGTCCCTCGCAGCTGAAGCAGCGCGATTGCTTTAAAAAAAAATTCGAAAGTTCATAAAATTTCAGGGATGGGGCGGCATTTTTGTCAGTGCCCCGGGGCGCCAAATTTCTAAATCCGGCCCTGAGTATATAGTTATACAAATGAGATCTTTCAGAGCACCGTGTTTGCGAAAAATATGATTTGCAAAAAGAGTGCTGCTACAACGCCAAAAAAGTGCATTTCCATATTAACATTTCAAAAAATTTGATATTTTGAGTTTCTAGTAACACTTGCGATCCGTTTAATAAAATTTTTGTGTATAAATATAACTACAAACAAAACTACTTACTACAATTTAATCATTATTAAATAATATTCACGTGGAACATCCTATTAAACGTAATTGAACTAAAACATTGACATTTGACGTATTAGCCACCGTCCATTGTTTCATTCAAATTACGCTTCTACAAAAATTTTCAAAGTAAAAATGTAAAGTTTTCACGCGATTTTGAAATAATATCTCACCTTTCCGACAACCTGTTGATTAGCACGAATTTTTCAAGACTAAGACTGGACAAATCGGTTTAGCCGTTTTCGAGTTTTAGCGGATCATTTTATCGAGAGCTTCATTTTTATATATAAAAAAATAAAATTTTAATATGTATATAATTTGAATTAATTTCACTTTTGCTATCAGTGTTTTAAACTATCGTTATGTAAACCGCGACATAAAAATATAAGAACCGTTTGTATAATAAAAAATGCATTTTCTGCATAACATTGCAAGCAGACGCACAACCGCAAACTTTTTACTGAAAGCCCATAAAAGTTTTATAGTCAAAACAAAGTTCACATTTAAAAATAAAGGAAATATAGCTAACTATTCAGAAACTAACGAATCCATGCAGTTTAATTAAGATTGAGTTAAATCGCAATTTCCTTTCATTTAAATTTTAATATAATCTTAAAAAAATATTTT